ATGGCCCTTATTAAGAGCAAAACCAGTCCCTTCTAAAATCCTGATTTCAGTGACAGTAACTTCATATAGGTCATTAGTTAAAATATTTCTATGTGCTTTATAAGCTCAAAATCCAACCCTTTAAATGGGTCTTTGGTGATTGTGCCACTAAGGCACCTTTTCAACATGTTGCCCACAATGACAGTTATCTTGTATCACGAAGTATTTTTAACTCATTGCTCTTCATATCTTGAATCATGAAGTATTTTTAACTCATTGCTCTTCATCTTTTCACTTATTGGTCACATATCTCTTTTCACCTATCTTTAGGCTTCTACTTCTCCCTCTCAGTAGGCTTCTTTTTGGGTTCAACTCCTCTCTTTGCTAAACTAAGCTTTTGTTGAAAACAAGCATGCAAAGTACCAATGTTTAACTGGCATGCTAAATATATCTAGTAAATGTCTTTGTCAGTGGTTTACATACAAGAGTACTATTGCTTATCTGGACAGAACTGGAAATTGTCTCTCACAGGAAATAAAAGTTATTTGTCTAGGTATAAAATACAACAGCCACAGACACTGAGGGTTATGGAACACAACTAAATAGTACCGATCTCCTTGGAAGCATAAAACCAATCTATGTCTGAGTTATAAATGCGCCTGGCACAGAACTACTAAGCATTTCTAAATGCATGTTACTGGTAAAGAAGGGACAACTGGCACCAGGATAAATGGCTTCAGCCTTTCACTGCTACTGACTTTACAAAAATTCAGGAAGTCTCTCAAATTACCTATTGTATGTTTTTCTCTCTAAGTTACTGTTTGCATTAGACAAAGTTGTAATGAGTAGCAGACAAAAAGAGAAACTGTTCACAAAAGCAACGTTCCCAAACTGCTAGGTCATCTTACTTTTTACAGCAAGAATTTAAACCATGTTTAATTCTTTAGGTATTCCATCAATTGATCTTGAAAGAAAACAAAGGAGAAAGGGGAAATGGAGGAAGAGAAGAAAGGGGAGAAGGAGGTTAACCTCTTGCCTATTTAGAAACAAAAAAAATGTATCCCAGATTCCAGAAGTAAAAAAAAAAAAAAATCAATAGAAGAATTACTGGTGGCAGTTATTAAATATCACTATAGACATCAGACCAAATTCAATGACAAAGGGGGCTGCATTCAATGGTGCATCTTGCTGTTGTGATATATGCACCAATACTGTAATAGTGACATTTTCTTACAAGAAAGACAATGAGAATATTTAAATGGTCTAAATTTTACAGAAACTTGCAAATGAAATATCAAAGACTTCAAAACATTGTGACTGCACAAAAAAATCTTAATCACTTTTGGCTGACCAGATATAGAAATGCTAGAATTTCTAGAACAGTAAACAATAATAAACTTTGGGCAAATTTTTCCTTTCTACCAGATAATTTTCATATAAACCTGTTCTTGAATACATGTACAAAAAGACTTTATTTCCAAATAACCAAAAAAGGTTTCCATAAATCTGCAATAGACGATTATGTTGAAAAAATTATGCTGCAGTTTTTATTCCAATCTGATCTCAATTTGTGAGTTCACTTGATTCCCCGGGTGCATTTTTGGCTAATGAACATTTTTCGGGAGATATGTCACTCACCTCTAGACTTGTCAATTGCAATTTAGAGGTAAATTAAATCAAATATTTTACAGACAGACTTTGAATATGATTATCCCTATCACCATCTCAATATGATCTTGCCAGGGCAAGTTTCAAAACAGAGTGCTGAATTAAACCAGTGTGACTCAGGAGAAACTAGCCTGAAAAAAAGCATTACTGAACTTTGTGCATAAATTATGTCAGTTGTTAGGTTAGAATATCACTGCAAATATTTCCAGCATTTGCAGGTTTCACTGTACATTTATTGCACCTTTAAGTTAGATGCCTAATTTGACAGCCTTATACAAAGCCATCACTAACCTAAGCTCTCAGCTCCTTAGTCCAGAAGTAGTCAGCCATCACAAACACTCCATTAAATGTCTCAGTAAATCTGCTGAGCATTTCCTGAGACTTCAAGAGTGGAAGGGTAAGGACAAGAAAAGTGCTATTCAAGATCTTGCCTTCTTCCCAAGTTACAACCTGACAAGTAACCAAGCACCAAACCCATCCACTCCCACAAAAAGCCATAGAGAAATTCAGAAACGACCTGACTTTTAAAGAGAAGCCAATCTAACAGCCAACTAAAGTATTTCTATATTGTTATGAAGCAATCTACAAAACAAATATGACAGGAATAAGATTTTCTATTGCAGTATGATGTGAAAATTTTTTAAAAAACATAAAAAAGTAATCCCCTCATAAAATTCTGCAGAAGCTCTCCAAAAAAGAGAGCAAGACCTCTGAGAACAGCATAGCAAGAGAGGAAACACTGCAGCAAACCTGCTCCTCCCCATTACATCTCCTGCCATTTCCTCCCTACAGCAGGGTACTGGGCACAGCTGTCTGTCTCTACTTTGCATGCTCAAGTTTGAGGCCAGTGACAGAACTGCTAGCATCACTTGTTCGGGATCAGCCCTTCCGAGAAATAATCCTCATGCATGCACAGTGCCAATGCTGATTAAACCTCAGATGTTTTAGAAGTGCCCTTCACGTAAGTATTCAAGAATGCAAAGGCTTATCTGAACAATAGCCAAAATGCATCTTGGTCTAGATACCATGGGATTTGGCCAGGGTGGAAATACTAAGGGAGTAATCTCTTGGATGCTATTTCATTACTTTTCTTTGGGGAAGAAACCAAGAGAAAGTAGAAATGTGCAGAGTATTTCCAGATCCCATTTGCAATCAGAACTATGACACTTGTCATATATCAATTATTTCTCACTACTCACTGCCTGTTCTTTTTGAAAGAAATTAAAGCTGACAGGAGTAATTGTAGGATGGTTACCTGAGTGCCGCTACATAGAGAACAACTGAATGGTATTAGAATAAGATCATTAAAGGACAAAGAGTTAAAAAAACCCTATTGCATGTAAAATATAGAAGTGATTATACAGAAAGATTTACATTGGAAATAAGAAAACTAAAACCAGTTAATCCAATAAACGAGTGAGCCTAAAAGAGAACATGCATTCTTGTCTTTGATGCTCTGAGTAGTAAATATCCAATGTGCAGCAAAGTATTAACCAGATGTTAGTAAATAGAGAAAATCTGAGAAAATCTAGCCTGAAATATTTCTGAGTTTGTATCTTTACAATCTTTCCATACTTGTAGTTATAACGTGACAACAGCTCTGTAGTTGACTGTGATCAACAAGAAGGAATGCCATTGCCCAGCACTGAAAATTAGTTCTTAAGCGATAAACACACCAACCACACCCTGCCTCTAGGTCACCAGGATATCACTGTGCTTAATAGGCACCCCTCTACTAGCAGCAAATGAACTGCACAAGATGTAGTAACCTGATGCCCTGAGGCCATAGATATAATAGTGGTTTCCTGGCTTTCACCTTATATTACCTTTTTTTATTGATTTAAACTGAAGGAAATATAGAACAGTGCAGATAATAGCTATGATGGTATTTACTACTTAAACAGGTATTTAGAGGTCTTTAAAATACGGACTGTTTACCTTACTGAGGGTTTATTATTGTCTCCTAAATAGAGACCTTTGTTTTTCAAGCTCTGTATATGCTGACCTGAGTCTACTGCTTGAAGTACTTCGTGGGCACTTGTTCCTCAGTAGATGTTTAATATCACTAACTATAAGGGCTCCTAAGAAGACATCTTAGTTTTCTGAGACATACAGCATATGAGACTGCAAGGAACTTTCAGAGACTTCTGAAATCTCCTGTAGTAAATGTGTACAATAACTACCTTGATGGTGGGAGAAATTTCTATGTTTTCAAAAGGTTTGTCTGTTTTATGAGCTCACCAATCGTGCTAGAGTATATATGTCATAAACTAATGGTCTGAAAAGTATCAGTTAACAAAATCAAGTAGTTACAAAAAAGCAGGAATCCTCTAGAAACATGCAACTTAGAAATACCAATCTTTTTTTTTTAAATTTGATTTGTAAAATTGAAGTAAATACAGCAAAGCCCAGAAAACAAAACAAAAAAAATAAAGGGGGAAAAACCCCCACCAACTTGTATTCTAGTGGGTTACAATTGAGCAACATACTCTTTTTCCTTGAAGTCTCAATCATAAACACAAAGAATAGTTGTTTAGGACAGAAACACTTGTAAGCCCTTCAGGCTTCATAGCTATCACCACATGTAAGAAGATACTATGATCAGATCTAACTTATTAATTCAAGAGTTTTTGTCCTATAATAACATTCAAAACCAGTAAACAAACTCCAGAAGAGTCAAATAAATTCCTTTCTTATTTCACCCACATTTGGAGACACTTCATGTACGAGAACACAGAAAAAGAAACTCCAGTAACAGACTATTTGCAGCAGAGTAGAAAGCAAAGACTAGCTTACTTTATTTTAAAACTTTGTACACATGATGTAGCTGAGGCTACTGTAAACTGGTTTGGCTTGAACAGAATGAAGAGCTCAGCTTAGAAAAGTTCTGGAATACTTTTACATGGACCATGTATCAGAATGTGGAAATGTATCTCTCCCTTTTGGAACAGCCCAGTTTTCCCTAATGATCTTTTATCACTAGGAACTATATGGAGGAAATAACATTGTTCAGTCGCTTCATTGTAAATTGAGTGGTTTTGTAAAAGGAAGACCAGGGGTGCTGATGGCACACCAGAAAGAGAAAATGGGGCTCAGTTCCAGCTGCAGAGCGCTCATGGTGGGACCAGGCTGAGCAGTTCCACACCAAGCTCTGAAATTCTCCTTTCCTGTAACTTTACACTCTGCACATTATCATAACCCTCCATCTCCCCACTGCTTATATAGCTTTTTCTGTGTGGAACCATTGTATTTTGTGTGCAATCTGATTTCCTCATAGCCCTGAAAGGTAGACCTCCAGGTCTGCAGCTGACGTCTGCCAAACCCCAGGAAAATAATTGCCGCGTGGCACTTACCTCTCCTTCTCTGGGCCACGGCCTTCCATTCTGTGTGTATTTGCTTTGATTCTGGCGCTTCTTTTGCCCTCCATCAGCAAATTTGCACAGCAAAGGCTCAGTGGGGGCTGTGAAGACAAGAAACCCAGTCTATATTAGCATCCCCCCCAAAGAAAGTGATTATACCAGCAACAGTAGTGCTTTGTAATACTGATCTTTTGAAGTAAAATCTTGCCTTCTGCAGATATTTTTTGCCTCTTTTAGCCTTGACTCCACTGGCAGCTGTTCTTATTAACTAAGCTTCAAAAAATATATACTGGCAGCCCTTAAAAGAATTTAGCAAATATTGTTGAAAAAATAATCAGCCTACGCAGAACGTTAAGTTGCTGTAGTGGAACAGTATAGTCAGGCATTAGTTCCAGTTAAGTTAGACACGTATTCACGATCAGCATTAGTGCAAGGATAAACACTGCTTTACTAAAGCAGCTTTCTGTTTTCATTGTAAAAACTTTGCAAGAACCTGTTCAAGGAATAAGTGTTCTCACTATTTCTGTGTTTCTCAGCACCCAATCCTTTAAAAATCTGAATAAACAGAAAAAATAGAGACTTTTGCCAAGCACACTCCAATTAGCTTTCTTTTCCTCTTAACTCCTCTTTTAAGCAAGTTGGCAACTGAGAAACCCCTTTTTCTCTCCAAGTGAGAACTGGTGTGTGTGAATACAATAGTTGGGAGGAGGGGGCAGAGCCCCAGGAAGAAGGGATATTCACAATGCTGCACACCCCAAAAGGCAGCCCACAATAGGGCGCCCTAGTGAAGAAATTACCACACATCAAATGGGTACAACAGGAAGGGACCTTGGTGTCTTGGGATCTTTTCCCATCTAGTCAGCTTTTAACAGACCCCTAAAATAATTTTTTTTTTCAGCCAAAACTGGCATTAGCTTGCTGGTGGAAGTTTGTCTTTGCTGCTTCATCCTTAAAAGAGGGGCCAAATTCTACCCACTTTGTTAGATGTATGTCAGGATTGTCTTTTATTGCCTACATCAAGTCAGATGTAAAACAATATTGGCTTGGTTGAAAGAAACCCAAAAATTACGTGTCACATCTGAATCTTTTCAGGAATTTTTGGGTTCCCAGGAATGGTGAGTCTGAAATTAATTAAACAGAGGGGTTGGTGGAAAAAACCCCACAATAAATCTGTTTTTCCCTCCTCATTTCCTGTGTCTTTCTGGGAGGCCAGAAATGTTGAAAGAATAGAAGTGCAGAGACATGAAGAAAATGCTGTGGTACGGGGGTTAATCAAGTTCGAGACTTATTTATTTGTAATAAAAAAATTGATTTGGTTAAGGGATAAATTCATATAGTATTAGAACAAGCTAACCTTCTCAAACCTCTTACAGCCAGTTCAAAACACGTCACGAAGTATAGATTAAAACTGTGGTAACTGAAAAACTGCAAACAAGAAGCAATGCACGTAGAGAATCTCACATCAAAAACACAATTTCTCATTAGGACAGCATCACTTTGGCTACTTCTTGAAGCTGTAACAGCTTTGTTTTTTCATTACCATTTTACCAGGCTAGTAATTCCAAGGTCACTAGAAACTGAACTGCAGGAACAATCCATTATTGGCAGAAAGCTCCACTATGTGACCCCAGAGGTCCTTTCCCACCTCCGACTTTCATTATTGTATCCAATTTTGGTAGAAGCAATGCTCAGTCAACCATTTTAAATATAAAATAATGAAGGTTTAAAAGTATCCAAGTGGCTATGGAGATTCTTTCTGTAGATGGAAAGATTTTACAGGGATGATTTCCCCGTACTTTCACCATGGTGCAATACTACATGACTTCAGAGTGGTTACTTAGAGTTCACTTTGATGTGACTGTGAAACAGAAGCAGGTGCCAAGACAGCATTAGAGAAAGACCTACTAAACATCATACCAGAAGCTTCAAAAGCTTTTCGTTCTAAGCACTGCACAACCACCAAGAAACATATGATATCATTAGGATACCATGTAAAAACAATCTGCACATTGGATATTTACATGCCATAATCATCTCCTAATGTACACATATGGTACTAGACCATGTACTACGATGTGGTCGAATAACCTAGGAAATCACATTTTACTACACATCCTCTCTATATATTAGCCAACCACTAAGACGAAGCTATTGCCATTTCAGGAATTCCCACTATCCAACATTACCATCTGACAACCTCAGATTTGTTAATCTGTGGTTTCCTGAAGTTGATTCAGATTGAATAGAACTGACAAACAACTTCACTAGCCCCATTTAGAAAAAATGTGAAAAACGTATTTTTCAGGAAGTTGGAAAGAAGGTGGAAAAGGACAATGGTACTATACTCTACACAGGCAAATTTCTGCATGGGAGGTTATATTCCTCTACGGCAAACTGAGGGCAATTCTGTGGAAAAAGTCAGCCTGTGTTGATCAATGTTAACAGAAGCAAAAAGATCAAAAGAAAATGTTCTGACAGGAAGATACAGCCTAGATAAGATGGTTTGGGTTTGAGGGTTTTTGTGGTTTGATTTGGTTTTGGATTTTTTCCTAAACATAGGTATGTAGCATAAAGCAAGACGGAAAATTATCTTAATAGTTCTGAAGTGGTGTAGGTCTTAATGGTTTACACCTGGAAATAACCATGGTAAACAACCTCAGAATAAAATAAAAAAATCAAATTATTAATCTCTGTTTTTTCAGGATATAAGGTAGAGTGAAAGAGTCTTGAGAGTCCAAAGATGTTGCTCTATGTACACAGAAGAACTCAAATATCTGGTTTTCTTCAGCCCCCTTGAAATGCCTTGTAAGAAAGGTTCTCTAGGTTTTGCAAGATCAGATGAACATAAATATTTGTCATTAGGACCATCATTCTTGCTAATCAATTACATAGCAACAGAAGATACTAGAAAGAGCAGATACCATTCCACTAGGCAAGCAAAACTTTGTAAGTAGTGTTCTTTTTTAATGGTTTCATTAAATTTCCAAAGTGCTTTAAAAATAATAAATTTACTTCAGACACAATTAGGTACTATGGTTATCATTCAAAAAGAAAATATTTAGAAACTAGTCAAACAATATCAATATTAGATGAATAATATTGATGGTTGCAGTTTAAGTGGTATATTTTACCCTCTAATACTTCAGAAGGGGAGGAAGGAAAAAGGGAAGTATTTTAAACTTTTTCTGATTTGGGTGTGACAATTTTTTTTTTAGACTTTGGGGGGTTTTGTTTATTTGCTTTTTTTCCCATTCCACACAGACACTCTTCAATTTATGGACTGCATTTTTACTTTGCTCCTTTTCCTCTGTATGAACACCCTGACTGAAAATAAATGCCTGTGTCCCTGCCTCTTCTCTCACCTTCTGTACTGCTGACTTAATAGAAAATGTAATTTGGATATCTGTAAATGTTCACATTTTGAAGTGATAAGCAGATCTTTTCATATGGTTCCTGACATCCTCAAAGTTTGGAGCATGTGTGGTATTTTGAAGCATATCTGGAAAATCTAGTGTTGCTATTTTCCTGTCAGAAAAGTGAGAATTGATTCATTTGAAACAAATTTCAGGCCATTCCATCCTGATAAACTCTTCAAGATAGAAGGCACTGCTCTTTCTTTGACTTCTACCTGACAATAACAAACACAAATATCAAGAATAAATAACGACTTTAACCTGAGCAAGGTTCATTAAACCATAACCCATTTTTCAAGGAGAAGATTTAAATGCTTGCTGCAGTTCCCATCCAAAGCCTGCTCTAGTTAATAAGACATAAATAGCCCTGAACTTGGCTTTGAGTCCTGAGAAGGAAGCGGGATCAAATTGATAGTGTTTCTAAACAGCATTTGCCAAGATATTCAGGGCTGCCTTACGAGAGGGCAGTAGTTGCTAGTGTTCAAATTCTGTTCCCATGGAAGTCAATGGCTAAAACCCTATCTCTCTTCAGTCAGGCCCTGAATTTACTCTAAGAGTTCAGTGGAGGTGAAAGAGAGAGACGGGTTTTATGTCAATCAAGCCTGTCGATATTGTTGGAGTTCCCTCAGGAGATCAGCTTCTCATGCTCTGCTACTTTAGATGGACAGATTGTGCAGACAAACAGCACAGAACTGCCAAAAGGCTGTTAATATCACCAAAAGCAACACTGGTATTTAAAATAGCACAAAACCTTTAGAAGGAAGGAGATGAGGATAACAGTGCCCCTTTCTCGAATCTGCAGTCTCTAAGAAATGTTCCAGCTCAGGAAGGCAACTTCAATTAAATTGGAGAATTCAAAAAAGAAAAAAAGAGCAAACTTCTAACAAGTTCTGAATACATAATTTCCTTATTCTTTCATTCATCGGAAGGCAGATACACTTGAGCTTCTACATATGCAAAAATGTATATATTCATGAGCATGTGCTTCATAAAGGAAGATGAAAGCTGTCATTTGCATTTGGTGAATCTTTTTCATTATTTCAGGTGCTCTGAAACTTTTACTAAGAGTTACTGAGAAAAGCTTGTCCTCCATAGCTTCTGATTCAGTCATATAGCATCATCTGTCCAGCAATGGCAAGAATTACATATATAAAAAAGCAATAACAAGAAAATTTTTATGCATTTATGTGCTTTTACTATGAATATTTTTGAAGACAGAGGTTTTCTCAGCATGTCAGGAAGAGCTTAATCTTCTCGTCTTTCACAAAAATGAACGTAACATTTTCAGCAGACAGCCTAGCAACATGTACTGTGAACATTCATGTGGATCTTTAGCCACCTCTGTTTACTTAATGTGAAGAAAAACTGTAAGAAAGTCATTGGTATGTCAATGAATGGTCAGTGCACAGTCAGTGATCCCTTTCAAAGTATGTTTTTATGAGAAAACTGGATTAATTTCTTTTTCAGCCTTGGGAAATCCTCCTCCACAATAAATAAAAACCAGCACAGTAATAATCGAGTTCACAATTACACCAGGCATCCAAACTGATCAAGCTCTAATAATTATTTTCTTCCTAACTGCCTTCCAAATTTGAAGTATTTTGATAAGTTTTTCATGCACAATTCACACAGAACATCTGATTGAAACACCCATGCAAAAATCAACCTCTTTGTGTGCTACAGATAAC